TCCAAACTGGTTTCAGGCTAATGGACGCCTGTCTTGCTGTCTTTCCGATCCTGGCTGGCTTTGACGTCCTCGTCTGTGCAGCCTGTATTTGAGACAGAGCCGCCTAGATAGGTGAAAGAGGCTACTTCCTTTGAGCTTCTCCCATTGATGGTGTTTGGAGCTTGTTATTGCTGTTGTTCGCGGTGGCGTTGGTTGGGTATCTTCATCACCTATTTCTTCTCTACGTTCACTTGAAGTCCCGTCTTCGCTGCCCTGCCTCTTCTGTCAACTTGTTGGATTTCCCTGTAGATCTTCAAGTTTGTGTGACATTAGACACAAGTCATCGGCGAAATCCAAACCTTCTAGGATCTTTTCCGCGATTCAGCGTATCCCTCTCTTCTCGCTCATTACTGTTTGTTGCATGATTCAGTAGACCACAACCAAGAATATCATGCGTGATAGTAGACAGCCTTGTTTTACTCCAGTCTTCACTTCAAAAGCATAACTGAGCTTCCCATTGTGAATTACTTGGCATGTGGCGTCTTCATATGGCTGCTGTTGAATGAGATTGATAAAGGTTTTTGGTGTTCCGTAGTGTTGAAGCAGTTGCCAAATTACTTCTCGGTTGATGCTGTTGAAAACCTTTTTAAAGTCGATGAAGTTGAGGAAAAGTGAAACAGTAGTCGAATTGAGGTGACTTTGAAGGCCAACATAGCCATGACTTAAATAGCCAATCAGACCTCTTTGCTTCGACTGGAAAGTGTAACAGGATTTAAGGGTGCAAGTCTTGTATAACGCACTCAGACGGGGGTCCATCACTTTTGTTTCACTTTTCAGTGATGAAAGAAACAAGTTCAACACCCAGAACAGAAACTGAGAACCAAACTACAAAGAACAGAACAGAATACATTAGGCAACATCCCTGAAGGAACCTGTATGGAAGAACACTGGAACTCTGATAGAGATATGGAAGGAAATCTGCATAACCGTATTAGGGAGGAAGAAGAAGAGGCAAGACAAGGAATGGATCTCAACGTACACATGGAAGCTGATAGAGGTGAGGAGGATGGTGAAGCAGAAGATAAACCACTGCAAGGATGCACAACGAAAAGAAGAACTGAACACAACCTATAAAACACTACACTGGACAAAGAAGTGAAGAAGAGTGAGCGAAAAGACAAAAGGCATTTCTACGATACACTGGCAAGTGAAGCAGAACAGGCTGCAGGTAGGACAGACAGAGACCTGACAACACCATGTCAAATGACCAGGTTACTATCTGGCAAGAAATCAACACACATGAAACCAATGAAAGATGATTGTGAAGGAAACTTAGTTACCAGAGAGGAGAAACAAAGGAAACGATGGGCTGACCACTCCATAAAACTCTTGAATGGACCACCACCACCACCACCACCTGCAACTCGTCCAGAAATATCACCAGCAACCCAGTCACACAATTACCAGTGGACATAAGCCCTAAGATAAATACAGAAGTGAATTCCTGGACGCCATAAAGTTGGTGAGATGCAGAAAAGCAGCAGGACCAGATGAAATTCCTCCAGAAGCACTGAAAACAGACGCAGGGACAACAGCGGCCATGCTCACACTACTGTTGGAGAAGGTTTGCAAGGAAGGGAGGAAAGGTACCTATCTATTGACTGGAAGACGGGCTATCTTGTTTAACTTCCAAAGAAGTGAGATCTAAGTCCTTGCAAGAACTGGCGAGGAATCATGCTCATGTCCACCCAAAGCAAAATATTATGCTGCATCATCCTGGAGAGACTAAAAATTGCTCTGGATTCAAAATTACTACTGAAACAGGTTGGCTGACTGGATTCAGGAAGAACAAATCATGTTAAGACCAAATTGAAACGCTACACTGCGCATCGTCATACAACAGAGCACAGAATGGCAGTCAACCCTCTACCTCAACTCCATCGATTTTGAAAGGCCTTGTTTCGACAACGTCGACCAAGAAGTCATTTGGCGGGCAGCCGGTTCAACGCTACGCTTTTAGTGCTACATGCCACATGCCGAGTGATTCACAATGGAAAACTCAGTGATTCCTCCAAGGTGAAGACAGGAGTAAGACATGTTTGTCACTTACTATCACCGATGATATTCCCGATCTGATTGTGGTCGACTGGATCATGCAACAAACTCTGAGGAGGTAGAAGAGGGGCATGCGCTAAATGGACCGATGTAAAGTCTCTAGAATATTTGGATTTCGCCGATGATTATTTATGTCTAATGTCTAACCACGCACAAACTCGAAGATCTACAGGCAAAAATCAACAAGTTGACAGTAGAGGCAGCGAAGACGGGACTTCAAGTAATGGTAGAGAAGACAGAGGTGATGATAAAGATACCCAACCAACAACAATAAGCATCAGTCACCATCGACGGGAGAAATCTGGAGAAAGTTGTCTCTTTCTCCTACTTACCCATCTAGGCACCATCGTTTCAACTACAGGCTGAGGCACAGATGACAACGTCAAAGCCAGGATCAAAAAGACAGCAAGATGGGCCTTGATTAATCTGAAATCAGTATGGACATCTACTGCAATCAGCATGAAGAACAATATCCGGATTTTCAACTCTAATGTCAGTCAAGTAAGTCAGTGCTTCTATGTGATGGTTTAGAGACTTGGCGCGTTACTGTAAGCATTTTCAACAGACTACGGGTACTCATCAACAGCTACCTATGCTGGCTCGATACTGCAAATCAGATGGATGGCCAGAATAATAAGAATAAGCAAGGATTAACTCTGTCTGGTGTGACAACGAACCAACCACGAAGCTATTGCCCAACAAATATGCAGCAGAACGAAGTGGAGGTGGGTCGGGCATAGACTGAGGAGACCATTTGAGGACATGAAGCTGCAGGCCAAGTTACGCTGAGGTGAGGGTGACATGGAGGCAATGGTGTGAGGAAGAAATGAAAGCTTGTTGGGAGTCGTGTAGCCAGGTTCAGGAGACTTCGGAGAAGAAGGTGAAATTGAGATGTGTTACTGAAGCCCTATTTTCCACTAGGAACCCATGGGACAAATAATAATAATAATAATAACAGATTGGCAGTCACATCAATTCCTAGAGTGGCTTTCAAAGTTACCCCTGGACCCAGTCTTTCATTCAGGTAACCTAGGTGTTACTTTGCGCGTAAGATCTAGTGACATATGAAGGCATTCTCCATAAAAAATTCACTATGAACAGAAAGGTTGCTTGATTAGCCTCAACATCTTAAAGCGTAGGTATGAATCTAAAGAGTGACTTTGTAGAATGTCCTTGCAGTCCACCCTAGTAATAAGACCTAGAGAGCCAAGTATATCTCTTCATTTTGCCTAGAAGTCAGATTTTTATAAAATAGAGTAGTCTCATTGGTTATTTCGGTTGTTGTTAAGGTGGTCTTTAAGGTAGTCAATCCACCATAGCCTGATTACTATCATATGACCCAATTAAAAGCAGGCAATCATGGCAACGATCGAAGTAACCAATTAGATTTGTTCATTTTTGCTGACAAGGCAGATTTTCATAAAAAACAGAAGACTGATTAGTCATTTCAGTCATCTCTGAGGTAGCCTTGAAGGCCGCTCGTAGAACAGATAGATAGATAGATAGATAGACGAGTAGTTGAATGTTGGCTGATTGTCGCCCAATGAAAAGTAAATGTGACTGTTCTAAAGTGAAATATTTTCATTGGATAATATTTCGTAGGTAGTGTATAGTGTATCGATATTTAAGACGTAATTAGGTGGTTCATTTCTTTACTTGGAAGGGTTGAGCTTGAGCGAAGCCAACTTGGTGAGTCATTGTGTTTGAACAATCTTAAGTGATGAAACCAATGTATTGTTGTGTGGACAAGGTGTAATAGTTGTGTACACATGTTGTCATCAGGATGGTGGTCGGAATGCCTATGTGAACAAGTTATATAGAGTCGTTAAAGTTATCTGCATAGCCTGATTGGAAAATATTTACGGCTAGTTGGTAGTTCGATGATAATAAGCAGTAATTACTATTGTCACTACTACCACTATTATTATCATTATTATTATTATTGTTATTTTTACTGTTTGTATTTTGATTATCATGGACAAAGTTTGAAACTGGACTCAGTTATTTCTCCCCTTTGGCTGTATTTATGTTGGCCATTATCCGACGAGAATTTTTCATAATTTTCCATGGGTGTGCAACGACTAGGTGTTGATAGGTTTTCGTCTGGCCTGTAGATAGGTGAAGAAGCAGGTACGTTGTTTCGAGGGACGCGTAGAGCAGTATGGGTTTGGTAGTGACCATGAGAATGTGGAAGGGAAAAGAGGAGGAGAAAAAGGTGAGGTGATGACTTAGCAAGTAAGTACACAGGATGTACTTACATTTAATGATAAGAGATAACTGACAAACTTTAGAGCTGGACAACGAAGAAGTGAGGCGGTCTAGAAATGGAAACTGGAAGGCGAATGAGTAAGATTTCGAATGTGTTACAAGTGAACATCATTAGTATTTACATGTTTTAATAATGGCTTCTTCGGGAGTAGGAATGTTAAATATTTGATATTAGTGTGCGTTACTCAATACTCATTACAATCTACCTCTCCAAATTTTTCATACATCCACTTGATACTGTTCAGAAAGTAAGTTATGGTCCACGTGGACCAAAATCGGTGTATGTGGATTCTATGGGATATAATTCGAAATTGATCTTACTTGTTATGATAAATCCACATATTATCTTTATCCAAACAATCGAATCACATTTTGACTATCTTTTAGCTCAACTTCCTTGCTTCTTGTACTTTCTACAGTTTTCACTTACATCTCCCTTCATTCCTTCATCTCTCATCATTTCCGACTTGCATCTAATTTACTGATGTGATATATTGCTACTTACATCACTAGGCAGTAATACTAGGTGTCTTATTCGTATTGACTGACTGACTGACTGACACAACAGAATAGATGCTCAAATTAAATTAGCAACAATATCAGGAAAGGTTAGAAATCTGTGTACCACTATTATTATTGTCAGTATTAGTATGATTATTATTACTGTTATGGATTTGAACTATATGATATAAAAAAGTTGTAATCTGAAAGCTGAAATAATACACCAAAGTATGTACATGTCAGTGTGAACCAACACATTAAAGATGCTAAAATATACTGTTTCCTTTTAAATTCAACATTTTTCCCGCCTTGTATCATTTGTCCTTCACAAATAGTGCACTAAAAATATATAAGAAGATAAAATGAATTAAAACGAGTAAATTTCTTCGCTTAAAATGGTGCATACTCATATGTATACGTACTTAAAAGAAATCAGAACCATACTAGTTTCACATACCATAAAATGATAAGTTCACTTTCTCAATTTTGTTTACATTCTATGTGAGAATAGAACACGTATCAGCTATTTGATATGAGGACATGTTGAGACGGTGGTGAAGATATTTATCTTGAGTGCATCATTGCAATGGATCTGAGGTGAATGTTTATCTTTTGTTCATTCTAATCATATCTATACACGATTTGTCATTTGAGTTGTAGTTGGAATAACATCATTCACTGTGAGACAGGTACATCCAGCCTATGAGTCCTAGATAGACCGAAATGCACATCCTGTAAAACATTGATAGCCACTATTCATCACTAATATCATTCGACAACATCTAGTAGCAAGTTTTTTTTAATCTAAGTACTCAACACTATTCTGGGTCGAGTCAGTGCTTCTATATGATCGTTGAGAGACTTGGCGCATGACGAAAAGCATTCCCAACAACCTGTAAACAAGCATCATCAACAACTGCCGCCTACACTCACTCGACACTGAAGATAAGATGGATGACCAGAATAATAAGAATAAGCAACAAGGAACTCTGGCTAGCCCGGCAACAAACCAACATAGCAAGAACCTATCGCTCAACAAACATGCAGCAGCAGAAAATGGAGATGGATTCACCGAGAAGAGCATTCGGGGACACCACGTGACAGACCAGGCCATTTAGTGGAACTCAAATGTGAAACGACGAGTTGGGCGTCCGAGATGAGGGTGACATTGAGGAGATGGTGTGAAGAAGAAATGAGAGGTTGTGGTCAGTCGTGGAGTGTGGAGCCAGGTTGGAAGGGTTGCAGAGAAGTGGAGAGTGTAATGGAGATGTATTACTGAAGGTGTATGTTTCACTAGGAACCCAAGGGACAAATAATAATCATAATTTCAAACTGCTTCATCATACACATATTTGACATAGATATTTATACGGAAGTTCATGAGGATTAAGGGTGACGAAATGGAATGGAGTCAATTAGGAAGGCTGAATTAAAACGTCAAAATAACAGTGAATATGAATTGAGAGAAAATAGTAATACTTTAAACTTGGTTTCAGCACCGAATTCACCAAGGGAGTTTTACTGTGATAGAAAATTGTTTATGAACACACTCAAAGGTGGTTTGGACTTCCTAACAACTATGGCCTTAACAAATTTAAGGATCCGTCCTTAACACGTTTTTTGTAAATAGGTCCAAAGGTTTGAAGTTCACAACGATATTTCGCGATCGAAGAACTTAGATGGCTGGTATCAATTAACGTTTATTGGGTCAGGTGATTCAGTTGTATATATTTGTCACCACATGTTTTTTGAATTGGTAGACTCAATGGAATATGACTTTGTTGTTCACATGCTGTAAGGGTTTGGGAGGATCTACTAGCTTGCTGCTTTCTATTAATCGAACCTCAGCTGCATAGTAAGTCCTTCTAACAGCAGCATTAAGTCTTTGCTTAAGAATTGCTCTATGAGGGTCATCTTTCTATGGAAGACTGATAAAAACATCCTTCGTTTGGACAAACTGAAGATCTGGTTTTGGCACTCTGATTATTTTGTGTTGCCTAACAAACTTTGATGGATACTTACTTTCCAACAATATTTCAGACAGTGTTCCTCTTTCATCTTCCAAACTATCCTATGTGCATATTCGTTGGATTCTACTGAATGAGCACCTAACTAACACTCGCTTGTACTGAAGTGGACGAAAGCTATGATAGTTCACATATTACCCTATTCATGTCGGTTTTGTGTAGATAGCTCTAGTGCATATTTGTTGAGCGATAGGTTCTTGCTATGTTGGTTCGTCGCCAGGAGAGCTAGAGTTCCTTGTTGCTTATTCTTATTATTCTGGCAATCCGAGCTTGAGTAACGAGCCAGCATAGGTGGCAGTTGTTGATGAATATCTGTAGTTTGTGTGAAATGCTTTTCGTAACGTGCCAAGTGTCTCAACAATCAATCACATAGTAGCACTGACTTACTTGACTGGATTGTTGTTGAAAATCCGGATGTTGTGCAGAAGATCTCCACACTGGTTTCAGGTTGATGAACATCTGTCTCGCTGTCTTTCTGATCCTGGCTGGTTTTGATGTCCTCGTCTGTGCCTGTTCCTCCGCCTGTAGTTGAAACGATACTTCCTTGTCTGGGTAGGTGAAAGAGACTACTTCCTTTAAGTTTCTCCCATTGATGGTGAACTAGTTAATCAGGCGAGGTTGTGTCTGCTACGAGAGACCCCAATATTTAAGCAGATTGTTTATTTCAGTATTAAAATGTGTTGATTCAGAGGTCATGACTACAGCATACATCGAGTCAGCTGAATAAAAAAACATGGTACGTTTTCGACAGAGATGCCTGTCTACTTAACTACACTGTTTCACCGTAAACCTTAGCCAAATATACATATACTGTTATCAAAAGTGAGAATACGAAGTGCTGAAACATTGAAATTATAAATCTGTAGTTTGCAGAAGCAATCCAATCGGTTGTTTCACGTAAGTTTCTCTGATAAAAAAACATTCTATAAAACTTACAGGAATAGATATGGTGACATAAATCGCACCAAGTATATGATTAGCCACCTGAAAAATGAATTTTTACAAGGTCAAAGTTTGAAAATTTCGTGAAAACTTAATTTTCAATGTTCACTTTAAGTATAAGCATCACTGTGAAACCAATTATCTTTACTGTGGAGGCTATACACCATTTTAGATAATGCAAACAGTGAAATATCGGAGAATCTGAGCAAATTCAATTCATGAGTATTGAGTTTAGTGAATTGAGGTCAAACTGCAATTTAGTTTGTCGAGGATAATAGACGAATTCAATTAGGCTAACACTAAGGTGGAGTAATTCTTATATCTTGGATAGCTTAGGAATATCTGTGGCGCTTTATGATGTGACGTTGAACTACCAAAAAGAAACTCCAATTTCCTCAACGTCATGTTATTATTATTATTAGTCCCTTGGGTTCCTAGTGGAACATAGGGCTTCAGTAGCACGTCTCCAGTGACCTCTGTTCTCTGAGATCTTTTGAACCTGGTTCCACGACAGCCCAGAAGCTCTCATTTCCTCCTCGCACGACCTCCTCCATGTCACCCTCACCTCGGACGTCCAACTCGTCGCTTCCTATGGGGATTCCACTCGAGCAACTGGCCTGACGCATGATGTCCCCAGTCGGCCCTCTCAGTGCATGCCCAATCCATCTCCATTTCCTCCTGCATATTTGTTGCCTCAACGTCATAAGTATATCATAATTATGGTTGTTCAAACGTAATCGACTTTATTAATATAGGTGTAAAACTTGGGCACTGTAGTAGTAATTAATTCCATATTAGATTTGTTTATTTGATTTATAACACACAGTGAGTGATCTAGTGTTATTTATTGGATGGAGTTTACCGCATAGATTATCACTGCTCATAATCATATCAATGTGTAATCACACACTACTTTCGACATTCGATAATAATAATAACAGTTAATAATTATCCTCCACAGTTTATTATGAAATTCGTACGAACACATAAGAAAAGAAAAAATAACAGTCACACGACTGTGACCAATAACGACAACACGAGTAAAAAGGAGTTCACAGCCTTATGAGGAAGGTACCTCAGAAACTTTACGTAGAATCTTCAAAAAAGCTGGAAATAGAGTGGCATTTATACCTACGAGGTCATTGAGAGATAAGATTTATCGGCTGACTTAAGGATCCAATAGAACCAATTAAGCAAAGTAATATAATCTATCAAATACCATGTAATGATTGAGAGTTAGGTCAAGTATATAGGTCAAACTAGTCGATCGGTCGGTCAGTCGGGGTCAGTTAGAATAGCCGAACATTGTAGTTTAGCTACATATAGAATGACAGAGGTGAACAAGATGAATAATGTAGAAAAACTCAGTTATTGCAATGGAAGCATTAACACAACCACACAGTAGAATGGGTGGGATAAAGCCACTGTACTTAAGTCCAATATAATTAGGTGGAGAGAGAGAGAGAGAGAGAGAGAGAGAGAGAGAGAGGTTACTGAATCTTTGTTCATCGAATCAACACTCAGTCAACACATTTAATAGAAATGACGCAACAACCATGTATTCTAGAGATATGCAAAATTTAGCTACCAATAGAAACAACTCATATAAAGTGACGTAACTATGAGAATGAAGTGTGGAAATTGGTGTATGTTTACACATCGATATGACTATGAGCAGTGATAATTTATGCTCGAAACGTCATTGAGTAGATATATAATACTAGATCACTCATTGTATGTTATAAATCAAATAAACAAATAGAATATGGAAGTACTTGACTTCAGCTAACTAGGAATGTTCCAATATCTTCGGGCAATCAAATATCCAGTACTTTTCTAGAACAATTTCTAGTTGGACTGTATAGATCATGAAACTATTATAGCAGGCAAAAATAATGATCACGAAACATGGATTTCCACCTCTACATAACTTGTCAGCAAGGCTTGTCTAGAGGCGAATAAACTTGTTCATTCTGCTTACAACGAAAATTGAATTTTTATGTTATACTTCGTAATTACTGTCCATGTTTTTTTCAACTCTAAAGACGTTTAGTTCTTGAATTTATGTTCACCTTCGTTAGACTACTACAATTACAGGTTGCAGACTATGATTATAGTTATTTCTATCTAGAGTTATGATTATTCTGTTAGTCTATTTCCTTTGTGATTTTGCTTTGAAATGGACTGAACTTTGAATGTTTGTCTAAATGTAAAATTCGATGAAGTATGATAAGTAAAAGAACTCATAACGACAATCCTGACTTCATTGAAGTAAGGTGAAGTGATGACCGTTTCCTATCTAATTGATTCGATGACGAATATTTCTTGTTTGAATGTTACTTGTCTATTGTCAGTGTCGTTAAGACAATTTTCAGTATTATGTATTGTATTCAGGTCACATACGATCCGTTTTTCTGGATATTAGAGATGTTTTCGTTTAGATTGACATTCAACCTAAATCTCTCATTTGTATCGACTGTTTTTATTCTCTCTTTGTGTGATGACGTTTAACCTGGTTGAGTATTTTACTGTATCCACAGAAAACGTCTTTGTTTCATAATGACACTGTGTTATGATCGAAGGTGAAATGAAAAACCGAGTGATAGTGGGATTTGAGCTTATGACTTGAGTGTTGGTATCCTGCTGTGACCAAGGTTTTTATTTCACCATTTGATCATGATGCAACATGAGTAACAACAGTCTGTCAAATCAAAGCCATATCAGTTAGTCTCATTATTGTTGTTATGACAGTCTTCAATACTTACCTGACCAGTTTTCAGTTCATTCAGTAGAACTGAAATTACAAAACCCAAACAGATCATGATTAATGCATAAAAGGTGACAACATTCCAGTACTTTGTCAAATCATATTTCACTTTCAAACCAGCAATAAAAAAGACAGTGAACAGCATCACAGCGATTATCCATGACAAAATTGACCATGTTGGCGATGGAAGAATAGCGAAGGTTGATATCACAATACCAGATGTGATTGCCTATTGAGAAATACCAGAACAGTATACAATTAGTGTGTGTTAAAAATGTGGAAACTCGGTTGAAATTAAAACCAGACCCTCGGTTCACTCACTGAAGATGACTATGCCTGTGAGCAATGATATTCTTGACCGCAACTCACTGTAAACACGATGAGTTGTTTAGATGCGTCTACGTGCTTATATACAACCCATACAACTTTTGGTCTTGAATGGTATATTGTGGGTTATCAGTCTTTTTTACTGAATTATTATTATTACTTGTCCCTTGGGTTCCCAGTGGAACATAGGGCTTCGGTAGCACGTCTCTAGTGGACTCTGTTCTCTGAAATATTTGAACCTGGCTCCACGCTCCACGACTGACCACAACCTCTCATTTACTCCTCTCACGATCTCCTCAATGTCACCCTCATCTCGGACACACAACTCAACGCTTCCCATCTCCGTTCCACTCGACGGTCCAGCCTGACGCATGATGTCCCCCAATGCTCTTCTCAGTAAATCCATCTCCATCAATCTCCACTTACTCAGACATATTTCTTCACTGATAACTTCTTCCTTGGTTCCTTCACAGAGTTACTTGTTGCTTATTCTTATTATTCTGGCCATCCATCTGATCTTCAGTAACGAGACAGTGTGGGTGGCAGTTGTTGATGAATATCTGTAGTTTGTGTGAAATGCCTTTCGTAATGCACCAAGTCACTGATCCATCACATAGAAGCACTGAATTGAGTGGATTGGTGTTGAAAATCCACATCTTGTTCATGCTTAATGGTGAGTGGAGTGCAGGAGATCTCCACACTGGTTTCGAGTTAATGAATGCCTGTCTTGCTGTCTTCCCGATGCTGGCTGGCTTCGACGTTCTCAACTGTGTGTGCCGCTGCCTGTAGTTGAGACGATGCTGATGTGACTAGATAGGTGGGGGAGTCTACTTCCTTTGGGTGTCTCTCATTGATGATGATTTGAGCTTGTCATTGTTGTTGTTGTTGTTGGTGGTGGTGGTTGTGGTGTTGGTTGGGTATCTTCATCATCATCATCATCATCATCATCATCATCATCATCATCATCATCATCATCATCATCATCATCATCATCATCATCATCATCATCACCTCTGACCTCTCTACATTCCCTTGAAGTACCGTCTTCGTTGCCCTACCTCTGCTGTCAACTTGTTGGATTTTGAGTGTAGATCTCCAAGTTTGTGCAACATGACATTAGATACAAGTCATCTCTGATGAAATCCAAATATTCTAGGATGTTTTCCACTGTCAAACAGCGTATCCCTCTCTTCTCTTTCCTCATTGTTTGATGCATGATCCAGTCTACCACAATCAGGAAGATTATTGATGATGGAAGTTGGCAGCCTTTTCCTACTCCTGTCTTCACTTCAAAAGTATAAGTGAGCTTTTCATTGTGTATCACTTGGACTGTTGCGTTTTCATATATTTATTGAATGACGTTGATAAGGGTTTGTAGTATTCGTTAGTGTTGAAGCAGTTTCCAAATTACCTTTCAGTTGATGCTGTTGAAGGTCTTTTCAAAGTTGATGAAGTTGAGGTAGAGATCCAGTTGACTGCCATTCTGTACTCTGTTCTATGATGATGCTAAGCGTTGCAATTTGTTCCACACATGATTTTACTTCCTGAATCCAGCCAGCCTGTTGGAGTCGTATTTTTTGAATCGAGCGCATCCTTTAGTCTATCCAAGATGATGCGGCCTAATATTTTACTTGCTTTGTGTGGACAGGAGAGTGATTCCGCGCCAGTTCTTGCAAACACTGATGTGTCCCTTCTTCGGGAGTTTTCACAAGGTAACCTTTCTTCCAATCAATGGGCAGGTACCTTCACTTCCTTCCACACCTTCTGCAACAGTGGTGTGGTATGAGCATGTCCGCTGTTGTCTCTGCGTCTGTTCTCAGTGCTTCTGGTGACATTCCATCTGGTCCTGCTGCTTTCACACATTTCAGTAGCGTTATGGCGCTCAGGACTTTGAATTTTGTTGGAAGATTTATGTTCACTTGTAGTTCTGTGGCTGGGCTGTAGGTGGTATTTCCGGACGAAGTGCAGGTGGTGGCGGTGATCCATTTAAGAGCTTTTCGAAGTGGTTGGCCCATTGTTTCCTTTGTTTCCCTTCTTTCATAATTAAGTTTCCTTCATCATCTTTGAATGTTTTCATTTGTGTTGATCTTTCCCCTCCCAGATAGTAACCTGGTTATTTGATTCAATGTTGTCAGGTCTCTGTCTCTCCTACCTGCAGCCTGTTCTGCTTCACTTGCCAGTGTGTCGTAGAAGTGTCTTTTGTCTTTGCGCTCACTCTTCTTCACTTCTTTGTCCCGTGAAGTGTTTTATACATTGTACTCAGTTCCTCATCTCATCTTTCATCCTTGCACTGGTTTATTTTCTGCTTCAACATCCTCCTCTCCTCCATCAGCTTCCATGTGTCCATCGAGATCCATTCCTTGTCTTGCCTTTTCTTCTTCCTCCCTAATACGGTTATGCAGGTTTCTTTCCACATGGATTTCAAAGACTTCCAGTGTTCTTCCACGCACGATTTTTCAAGGATGTTTCTCGATATCTCCCATTTTGTCTTGATGGCTGCCATGAAGATTTCCTTTGTAGTTTCGTCCTTCAGTATCTGTTCTGGTTGTTGCACTTGAACTGTGTTCTGAGTAGCTTCCTTGAAGGCTTTCAACTTGATTTGGAAGGCAGGTTCTTTGCACTAGATAGTGAGTGGTGTGAACCTACATCTGCTCCCCTTCTAGACCTTGTGTCAAGTAGACTGCGTCTCCACTTTCTTCACATTGAGATGAAGTCGATCTGACTTTTAGTGTGTCCATCTGGTGAAATCCATGTCGCTTGTAGATATTCTTGTGCTTGAACACACTGCCTCACTGCAATCACCAAATCGTTGAATGCACAGAATTCTGCAAACAATTCTTCATTCTCGTTAATCACCTCACCGAGCGCTTCTCGATCCGTGGTTAGTTCTCTTCCTGTGTTTTCCGCTCCCAGTTTGGCATTCATGTCACCCAACACATTCGAATTTTGATATCGTCAACTGAGGTCTTGTTCAGTGTTGATTGCAATTGTCTGTAGAATTCCTCCTTCTCCTATCCATCTGCATTATTTGTAGGTGCATAGCGTAGCATTGGAAGATTGTGACTTTCCTTCCTTCCGAGTTGAATCTTGCTGTCATGATCTGATGCTACAGGAGGAGATTGGTTCTGACTGCGTGACAGCCTTCGATGCTCTTGAAGGGGAAATCATGGTAGCCACTCCAAATCTGAGTTTGCTCATGGTTGTTGTGTGGGTGGCAATATCGAAGTAGATTATTGACTCTCCAGTTGACAGTTTGTAGAGTCCACTTCCATTCCATCTGCTTTCACAGATTCCAAGCACTTCCATGCCTTAACATTTCATCTCTTTGGGAATCTCGGCAGCCCTGCGGAGTTCATACATGGTGCAGACATTCCATGTCCCCATGTTTACTTTCGCTTTCATCCAGAGAATGGAGACAGATTGGTTGATTGGCTTCTCGAAGGCTTTCACCAACTGGCATCATTTCGCCTCTCCGATTCCAGCGAGGAATAAGTTTAATTTTATTTTTTATAATCTCTATGAAGTTTCTTTCGTGGTTATGTTGATCTTCTGTGGTAGGTTTTCTAGCCCTATGCCCAACCTTCCCTCTTTGTTAGATCTTAGGACCGGCTAATAACTAGTGAACTAGTTAACCAGGCAAGGTTTTTTTACTGAATAGTACAAGTGAAGTATAAGTTAACTGGAAGGTTCAATTACAAGTTGCATAATCATCGGTTGAAATCTGATTTTGAAAAGAGATGGAAAAAAGAGTATAATTAGCAAAGAAATCGATTTCGGACTACTTTATATATTATGAGAGTGGAAACAGTTAAAGTGAAAATCATAAAACGATGATAGGTATATTTCCTTACATTTAGCAGATACATGGATCTGTTGTTTCTGAGTTTGCTGTTGAAATAAGTTTAGACAGTAATAGTTATTGAGACATTCAATAAACTTTCATTCGATATCTGCTTCATTCTTGTACACATGTAGTTATGAATGAAAGGAACGACTTGGAAGTGTTTTGTTTTTCCTATTCCAAATTTTGACAATTTTATGTACAAAGAGAATTCTAGTTTCCTCCAAGTTTGAAGTACTCCTTAATAGTAATAATTGCAGATGACCTTGTTGCTTAGCGTCAAGTGTAAACCGTAAAACATACAGTGGAACGATGTATTTTCAATTGAATTGGTGACAAATTGTCTGGAGACATGCCCTAATGGATATCTCTACAGTTTATTAACGCAATAACTTCTTATAAGCTAAGCTACATCAGAGAGCCTTGCAGTACTACTGCAAGCAGAAGAATGTTAAACTTGTAATTGACACTTAATTACTATCCTCCTCTAACTTAATGTCATTCGGAGAGTTGCTGGAAGACACGTAGCGAAGTGAGTAAGGTATGAGTGATTATGGTGAACAGTCGTCTACTTATCACTCATTCTAATCAGAAGTTTCATTTAACATCAACATAGCGTTAATATGTAACTTAAAGACAATCAGCTTAACAATTTGTCATAGATGTTTCATCCCTAGGCCTCATGACATCCTCAGCACTAACTTCGAGACAAAATATCATCACCATCAAATTCATAATCAGTTTGATAGTAAAGATGAATGGTAGCTAGCATTGAAACGCAAGATGAATATCTTCTCCTACTTCTAGATTTCTCAGCAGGATATTCCTACCTCTCATCTGTATACTATCTCCACAAGGACTAAATCTCAGGAAGTTAAAATTATATTCAATAGGCTAAAAGATCACGAAAGCCACTGCTTGTGGGATGAATATAGCATCTGAGCATAATCAGCTTGCATCTTGATATGAACTAGATTTTGTAATAAAACCACATAGTGACTTTATTGACGAAATCATCCTTCCAAAAATTTACAAATACTCACAATCATTGTAAGGAGAATATAATTCCATGGTTTACTGGTTAATGAATTCGGTACAACAAAGAGAAGTTCACCAAATAGTAAGGCTTGAATGCTTGTGAAACAGAAAAAAAAAAGTGAAAAATAATAACATGCATGAGTAAAGCAGAAAATATTCCTTTGTATCTAACTCGTGAATTAACCTCACAGAGAGAGTGACTAACCTGCATGTTATCGAAATATTTACCAATAGTATTTTTGCCGCCCCCTTAACATATACTACTTATATTCACTACAGTAGGATATCATCATGTTCATTTGAAGACTGAAATCTTCACCATCTTATTGTTGGAGTTGGAGATTACCATCACGTCATCCACACATATACTAACCCACTACCACCCTGGAAAATGTTATTTCATTTAACTTTTTTGGTTGCATTGTCAATTTGATTAACGAACTTGGTTAAAATTCAGTAGCCAAATGAGTAGGTATCATCGATTGAAATTGTAAAATCCATTTTCATGGTTACGAACACTAGTGTTCAAAATGATTTAGAATACTAGTGAATGCTTAGAACTCGCTTCCGTTCTAATTCTGAAACATTTAGATTATATATATAAGATGTATAAGGGTTTTTTTATATGATACCGTGGTTGATTAGACCGAATTGATCAGTCTCTATTAGCGTATGGCCTCCTGTGCGGTATCAATATAAAAAACCCTTATACTAAAAACTTTACCCATCTCACAAGAAGTGGAGATCATGGCTCGATGATGTAGTGGATAAAGTGCTGACGTTTGAAGCGATCGCTCCCGAGTCCGACTCCCGGTGGGAACAACATCACTCACTGGGAGGCAGGTACATGCAGCTAACCAGTGAGTTTAAAATAGGACGAAATGCCCACCCTGGATTCCACTGCTAGCCACCATTAACATATATATAAATGTTTATGATTTGTACAATTAAATTACGAAACCCTACACTCAGATTGAATGAAATGAAGTTAAAAGCAACTCATCCTTCATCAAATTTCTAACCTCTGACATTCTGCTTTACTGTTAGAGATGTGGATATTGATTAATTTAGCTTTGTCATTCGTTACCTTGATGACTACTTTCTTATTGGCTACCTTTAACAATTCAATATTGAACATAAAGTACAATAGTTCACACTCAGGTTACTGCTCTTGTTTCACCCTGATCAACTTAAGCTTGTCGGTACACTAATGAGGGGGTGGAGGAAGAACATCTGCTGTTATTCAGTAACGAGCTGCTTTACCAAGTAATTCACCTGCAGCTCCTATTTCATTTCGATAACATTAGAGAATGTGTCAACGGTATTTCTTTATCATAGGTCAGCTTGCTATCAATAGCTGAATGATTCATAACTGAATCTTCAAGGAAAATTCAAGTTTCTTTACGACTGCTGATGAGTACGAACAAGTACGAAACCTATGTCGATTATGATTTTCAGTCAGTTAACTTTATAAGCTTAACATCAACGTATATTGCACCACACTGTAACGTCCCACAGCTTTGCAGACATAATGCTTATTTAAGGTCATTAATAACTAGAAAATTGCATCGGTTCCGCAATAATGACCACTTCGTAAAAACTGTGAAGTTAGTTTAAGAGTAGAAGCAAAGTCATACTTCTTGGATGACCAGGAATTTGGTGTCAGTAGTCGGGGGATTACTTCAAAAGGTGCTTTATTGTGTGAGATACCTTGTCAGTACCAAGAGTCACATATTCAACAGTCGTTTAGTTTATCATGAACATCGCGTGAAACAGGACAACTTGAAGGGATTAGATGGGGTTATAACTGCATGTATGGTATGTTGACCACATATTTACTGCTCATGTGTGAAGATAAGCCTTACTTATGACAGTCAGAATGCTCAAAACCTGCATCAATCCAGTCCTGCCGATTGACTGCTAATGTTACATCGAAAGCTATGTGGTACTGTTTTGATTAAAAAAGATATTGGAAAATATGATCCCAAAATCGTTTAGAAGAATCCAGTCTAAACGTATAAAACTTCTAACTTAAGTGTACGAGTTAATTAGTCAAATTTGAGACAGTTACCAAGTAATTAACATTAAGATGGATGAATAGAGTTCGTTTAGCTTCACTTGTCACCATAATGTTTTCTGCACCTGTAAAGAGACTTCCCAGTTTGACTGCTCCTCAGTGTTTTATTTGCTGAAGCTATGTAGATGGTTAAGTCTGTTTTCTTTTATGGCGATTATAAACAATGGGAAAATGCAGTGAAATATACTCCTGAAAGACTTGAGTCATCAGAAACAATCCAGACTGACCTATAAATTTCACTAGATAGATCAACATGATTGACATATTACACGCTTCATGCTGAGTGCAGTGAAGTAGATCTCCACACTGGTTTCAGGCTAATGAACGCCTGTCTTGCTTTTCCGATTCTGACTGGCTTTGACATCCTCGTCTGTGCCTGTGCCGCCTGTAGTTGAAACAGTGCTTCCTAGATAGGTGAAGGAGGTTACTTCCTTTGAGTTTCTCCCGTTGACGGTGATTGGAGTTTGTTGTTGGTGGTGCGGTATCTTCATCACCTCTGTCTTCTGTATATTCACCTGAAGTCCCGTCTTCGCTGCCTCTTCTGTCAACTTGTTAGTCTTCACCTGTAGATCTTCAAGTTTATGTGACATTAGGCACAAGTCATCACAGGCGAAATCCAAGTCTTCTAGGTTCTTTTCCGCCGTCAAGCAGCGAATCCCCCTCTTCTCGCTGCCCACTGTTTGCTGCATGATCCAGTCGACCACAACACAATCAGGAATATCATGGGGGATAGAAGGCAACCTTGTTTCACTCCTGTCTTCACTTCACTGCAAAAGCATCACTGAGCTTGCTTCACATTGTGAATTACTTGGCATGTGGCGTCTTCATATAGTTGTTGAATGGGGCGGATAAAGATTTGCGGTACTCCGTAGTAATGAAGCAGTTTCCAAATTACTTCTCGGTCGACGCTGTCAAAGGCCTTCTCAAAGTCGATGAAGTTGAGGTATAGAGCTGATTGCCATTCTATCAACTGAACAAGTGTGATTGTCTATTTCACTCATACCAGTTATTCTACACTGTGTATTTTCCTGAACCATTCTTGGCTACCTCAATGAATCCTTTTGTGGTATCATGAATTTCACTTCAAGGTTATTTACTTAGTAATATGAGAGAAGAAGCATCGTTTCTGACTCATCATCTGCATACATCTAAATTTCAATTTTCTGTAATAAGAATGCATGATTTGAATTTGAAGTTTCTTGTTTGTCAATTCTTTGAACCAAATTAACTTTCCTATGTAGTTACCTCAAAATTAACTGCTTATTTAGGTTCCTCTAACAGTCAACACTCTACACATGTAAGGAGTTCAAGTGCATTTGTCAGTGAAAAAAATTCAGATCCAAACTGGTTATCAGTGAAGTATATATGATACTATGAGGTTTTTAGAAATTTATTACGTAAACTTAGCTGAATATTTGCTTCAAGGATTACTAACTTACCCGAAAGCTGGTGATATCCATGGATGTTCATTCAATGCCTTTTTGATTGCTGTTCTACAATTCATCAATAATTTTGTTTTATTTCAAGTGAGGTGTTTATACTTACACATTACTGAATATTGTAGTAATTAATACTGTTATAAGTATTTCAGTACATACAATTATACAAATCTGTTATAAGAAATAATCATATGTATTAATACTTTCACTGATTTAAATGATAGGTGAATTACCTTCAATAGGAATTTTTTAGTTGTTATAGAGTTGTCATACTTTCCCTTTATTACATAACTATTTTCACAATCTGAGCTAACAAGTTCTGTATCAGGTAACAATTGTTCTTCTAGATGTTGAGAACTTATCATTGATCTATTCATACAATATTCATTGAAGTATGAACAAAATTCCTCCCCATCCAATTAAGTTCCATAACAAAGACAGAGAAAAAAGTAAACAAGAGTATGAGACAAACAAATTCAGTGTAGTAATACAATGGAAGAGATGTATAGTATGTGAATAGTCAGTGTCATTGCTTGTAAAGTACAAAGCCCTATAGAAATATAAACTAGTATACAGTATACTTTTCAAGAGACTTGATGACATTAGGAAGGATATTTCTACTGAAAGAGAATTTCTCTAGTGCTTAGGCAATAGGAAATTGGATCAGAAAACTACTAATGCTCTGTTGAATATCAAATTCTAGGTGTAAAAACTTAGACCAGCTAGTCATAAATATTCATTTATGTATAGAATTGTTGTACAGTTCTCATGAAGGAAATTAACTTGAGATGAAATTTTTGAAGTCTTGTTGAAAAGAGGGTCAGCCACTTATTTGTCGACAGTCATGTTACACAAACAACAGACTGAAGTAGGGAAATTTTGACGCTTGGTTTCCAATCCTATGGCTGGTCATTAACTTACTCATCGCTAAAAGTGGAAGTCTTATGGTCATTCGTTCATGAGAGTTGTAGAGACACAGTACACAGGAAGAAATAACTGTCCAGAAATCTCAGGTATCAGTTAGCAAAAATTACCACATTAGAATCAATTAGTTCTCATAAACCAGCAATATAACGGTGAATAACAATCATCCAATTATACGTTACTCTGATTTAAGGGTTTTAATGGTCAAATGACCCATTCCTTATAGTCATTATGGACTAACTTCAGACATTAGGCAAGAAAGGTTGAATTTGACATAAACCTGTGACCTGTGAGGTTAAACAGTCTGAAGTGAGGCGGATGTCAACTGAAGACTTTAGTGTATATTCGCATTGCATCACGTTTGACAGAAGTTGGGAACAGTTGATCATTTTCCAGTAGTCCCCAGTTCCCAGTGGTACTCCAGATAATGTCACTCTATGATGAATATTACCTTGAAATAAATAAAATCTCAGAGAACCTCAAAATAAATCGATATAACCCAACTGACGTTTTGGATGGTTTAGTTGAAAGAGAGAGTAATAACAACAAAATGATGACAAATATGTATCAAGAAAGCCATCTTATTCACAGAACGATTTCGATTATGAATCTACACTGACTTTAACCACAAAACTAACAGTTACTTAATGTCTCATCATCATAGAACAGACCATAGAGTGACAGTCAACTGCATACCTCAAATTCAACTATTTTGAAAAAGCCTTCGATAGCGTCGATCAAGAAGTAATTTGGAAACTGCTCCAACACTACAGTGATCGTTGAGAGACTTGGCGCGTTACAGAAAGCATTTCCAACAACCTGTAAACAAGCTGCCGCCTACATTCACTCGATGCTGAAGATCATATGGATGGCGAGAATAATAAGAATAAGCAAGGAGGAACTCTAGCTGGCTTGACAACGAGCCAACCAAGAAGCTATCGCTCAACAAATAAGCAGCAGCAGAAAGTGGAGATGGATTGTATTGTATTGGACAAACACTGAGGAGACCATTTGAAGACATCATGCTGTAGATCGAGTTAGACTGTCAAGGGGAATCCAACTGGGAAACGACGAGTTGGGCGTTGTAGGTGAGGGTAGCATAGAGGACATGGTGAGAGGAAGAAATGATAGGTTACGGGGGGTTGTGTAAGTAGCTTGAAAAGACTGTAGAGAAGAGAGTGTAATGGTGACGTGCTATTGAAGCTTAATGTTCCACTAGGAACTCAAGGAACAAATAATGATAATGAAAGCTTGTCCGATGAGAGCATGTTGTAAATCTTATTATCATCAATCAATTTTCTAAAACTACTAAGCATCTTAAGATATATTATTATTTAAAGGACGATAATCAGGACCACTTTAATATATAATTATGGATCAGTTGCCCTTGTAGTAGGCCATCCACATCGTCCTGGAGAGACTAAAGGATGCGCTCGATTCAAAACTACGACCCAAACAGGCTGGCTGGATTCAAGAAGTAAAATCATGTGTGGAACAAATTGAAACGATTCGCTTCATCATAGAACAGATTATACAGTGGCAGTCAACTGGATCTCCACCTCAACTTCATCCACTTTGAAAAGACCTTCAACAGCATCAAATGAGAAGTAACTTGGAAACTGCTTCAACACTAACGAATACCACAAACCCTTATCAACGTCATTCAATAAATATATGAAAACGCAACAGTCCAAGTGATACACAATGAAAAGCTCAGTTATACTTTTGAAGTGAAGACAGGAGTAGGAAAAGGCTGCCAACTTCCATCATCAATAATCTTCGTGATTCAGGTACACTGGATCATGCAACAAACAGTGAGGAGAGAGAAGAGGAGGATACGCTGTTCAACCGTGGAAAACATCCTATAATATTTGGATTTCGTCAGAGATGACTTGTATCTAATGTCATGTCACACAAACTTGGAGATCTACACTCAAAATCCAACAAGTTGACAGGAGGGGTAGGGCAACGAAGACGGTACTTCAAGTGAAGGTAGAGAGGTCAGAGGTGATGATGATGATGATGATGAAGATACCCAACCGAGAACAAGCTCCAATCATCATCAATGAGAGACACCTAAACGAAGTAGACTCCTTCACCTATCTAGTCACATCAACGTCGTCTCAACTACAGGCAGCGGCACAGACAGTTGAGGACGTCGAAGTCAGCCAGAATCGGGAAGACAGCAAGACAGGCATTCATTAACTCGAAACCAGTGTGGAGATCTCCTGCACTCCACTCACCATTAAGCATGAACAAGATGTGGATTTTCAACACCAATCCACTCAATTCAGTGCTTCCATGTGATGGATCAGTGACTTGGCGCATTCTGAGAGTCATTTCATACAAACTACAGATATTCATCAACAACTGCCACACACACTGTCTCGTTACTGAAGATCAGATGGATGGCCAGAATAATAAGAATAAGCATCAAGGAACTCTGTGAAGTAGCCAAGCAAGAAGTTATCAGTGAAGAAATATGTCTGAGTAAGTGGAGATTGATGGAGATGGATTTACTGAGAAGAGCATTGGGGACATCATGCGTCAGGCTGGACCGTCGAGTGGAACGGAGATGGGAAGCGTTGAGTTGTGTGTCCGAGATGAGGGTGACATTGAGGAGATTGTGTGAGGAGTAAATGGGAGGTTGTTGGCTGTCGTGTAGCCAGGTTCAAATATTTCAGAGAACAGAGCGCATTGGAGACGTGCTACGAAGCCTTATTTTCCATTAGGAACCTAAGGCACAAATAATTATATAGTAATGATAATAATCAGAACCACTGTAGTATATATTTATGGATCAGTTGCCTTTACAGTAGGCTATCCACATCATAATCGACTGAATGCAGTACTGCTACAACTGCTAGTAGAAAAAGAGGTCCATTATTATATCTTCAAGCTTAGTGACACCTTAAACCCAGTGGTAACACTTCCTTGAGGAAGAAGTCAGGAACTGTCGTTGTGCATTACACGACAGGCTTGAAGAATTTAATGCGAGTGTTCACAGTTATACAAAAAATTATCAACATGACAAAAATTCACTAACGCAATCTTATATTAATCGCTAAAGCCGATAATTACCAGTAATAAAGATATCCCCGTATTCATTTGAGATGAAATGACATGAACGGAGCAACTTCTACTGTACACATTTTCCAGGTCATGTACGTCTTTTACAGTATCCTTTGGGATATCCTGGAGCAGGATGAGTACATCTTACCATCAGCAAAAGCAGTCAGTCAGCGTAATGCTATACTGCAGTTTTATTGTATAGTACTAATATTGCATAACATGGTCAAGTAGATAGAAGTCAATAAAAAAGAGGCCGAAAATGAATGGCTGCACATATCAAGATTGAAAAAAGAAGGTACCCACGGTGCATATCCTGCAGCAGTAATAGTAGTAGTAGCAGGCCGATTGCAGCGTAACTGCACTTCGTCAGTGCCATCGAAAAATATCTCAGGTTAGCGCAAACGAAACATCTTGCAGTCAAGATTGGTACTGCAGCTTGTTCCACCGCAGTATCATATCATCCATTTAGCTTATGACTACATCGTTCAGTTTATGTTGTAATCCAATTTTACTGAAATGCGGCGTCAAGCTAATGTTCCCGCTTTTCGAAAACTTCCGGTGATGACAATGAGCAAGTAAATTGGAGAAATGTATGCTTATATTTAAGTTTCTCTACACTCAGAGTTTAAATGTCATAGTCGTGTACAATATGACATCTACATGTATATATGACACTTAATGTCTCCTTCTGTATATGAAGAGCTGAAACGCATAGGCATCTCGTGCTTATTGGTAAGTGTAAACAAAGCAAATTAACAAATTCTAAGGAATCGAAGTCATGTCTAAGGGTTGAACCGACGTGACTCAGTGTCGAAGTCAAAGAAGTTACCACTGAGCTATTCTAGCCACGAATGACCTCCTGTATGAATGGATTACATAGAATGATTGGTCGTTGGAGAGTAACCCATTTCATTTTGTCTAATCGTGAGTGTTGACAGGTCTCCTTGTCGTTTTATCTCAGATTTTACACACCAGTTCATACCCTTGGCCCTTTTGTCTAAATTCCACTCATATTATTTGTTTTTAGCTAGTGTATATTTTCTTACCGTCTCAGCACGTAGTATGCATCTCTAGGAGTAGAGTGGGATTCAGACCCACAAACGTGCTTAGAGCGAAACTTTGTAGGTTGGAAAATTCAATAGAACCAGTGAGGTAAAGTAGCCTAATCTATCAGATACCATGTAATGATAATGAGGTCAAGTATGTAGGTCGAAACAGCCAATCGGTGTCATTCAGAACAACACAGGCCAAAAATCTAGAGGAACACACAATGGTAGACCTTACTAAGATGAGTAATTTAGAGAAGAACTCGACTGTTGGTCCGCATGTACTGACGCATAATCAAACTATAAGGTGGGTGGGATAAGATAACAATTCTAAGGCCTAATATAGCTCTAAATAGAGGGAGAGATCGATCACA